GCGGTGAAAGAGAAATTCGCTCCGCGCCGCCGCCAAAGCCTCGGCTCTGGATGGTTTCGGGGAAGTGCTAGAAACTTGGCCATAAAGAGAATGGCGTCCATTTACATAATGCTTTGTCTGCATTTTGCAAGTCTCTCGTTAAACCCGCAGAAACCCCACCTCCTGAGCTGGTGTCGTTTTAGTCGCTGCCGCCTTGTCAGACATTTAAGACAATGGCGTGCATCTTGGGGGACCGCATTTACCCATGCTCTGAGGAATTCTTGCGGTTTTCCCCGAGCGGGCTAGGCTCCCGCTACTGCCTTTCGGCCCTTTGCCCACTTGGTGCAGCCGCCGCGCCCGCGCTCTCCGGGGGCGGCCCCCAACCGGGCCCCGCCATCTTGGAAGGCCTTTCCTGCCGGGTGTCGAGCCGCGAGTTCTCTCCCTAAAGATAGGTCGCCGGGGCCATCGGTGTGCCAGTTGTGATTTCTGCCCCTTCCCCTTTCCTTCGGCTAAGCCAGGCAGAAAAGACCTTGTGCGCGGCGTGCTTCAGGATCCCTCAGGGAAAGCGGCCAACGTGGCGGCCCCTCCATTCCTCCTTCCCCCCTTTTCTCCCTCCGGGGGTGGCCGCCATGTTTCCTGAACACAAAATGGCGGCACGTGGCCCGGATTCCTCGCCAACGAGAAATTGGGGTCGACCCGAAAGCTCTAGAACGCGTGCCCGCGACCCCACCCCGGCACCCCGTGGTGGTGGCCCGGGGCCTTCTCGCGCTGCCAGTGCTCTGACCAGACAGATAAAACCCCTCAGGGTAGTCCAAACCTCGGCAGGCGAATATTAATACATTTATTTCACTAATCGGAAATGGGAATGCGAGTAACTAAAATATAGGCATCATACCGAATCTGTCTCTTATTTCAAGTTTAATAATGGATGATCAGGAGGTCAGTACCAATGCATAATCTGGGTCCCCAGAACCAAAACATTTAGGAATTGATTCTGCGAGAAATGAGATGGGAAATGAAAGCTTTTTAGACTTCTAGCATAGGCTATTGTGCTGGAGAGATAAAGAAATGGTATTATAAAGCTTCTTTAAAAAAGAATTTACATGATACCTGTGAGCTTTTCACTGGCCAGCTGGCCCGTGAACCTAAGTTTACCGTAATTGTTAACTTGTAGGCTAGAAGGGGCAGACGTTTACATTTACCACCGCCAGATCCTGTGCTAGCCATTTTACCGCATAATGTCTTTAATTTTTTACAGTGATCCTCTGAGGTACTTGTTCTCTCTCTCTTTTTTTAACAGACGAAATCACTTAGGCCCAGAGAGGTGAAGTGACTAATTGAAGGTCACACAGTATCGAGGATGGAATCCAGACCTGATATACTTAATTGGTGAGCACATTTCCACATTTTTCTCTAAGTCAGAGTTTTAGGATTTAAATGCTGTTTGGACATTTAGGTGAGCTAGTCCATTTAAAGGAACCCCTCAGATAATTTTTTGTGGCATAGTTACCCCCGGTTTGTATCTGTCTGGGGATTCCCAGTTTTTCCTGGTGTGAGCTATACCTACCTGTAAGGGGCTCAGCTGCCTTTTTTTTTTTTATGTGAGGTGTCTGGGTGAGGACAGAGAGGAAATGATTCAGCTCTGCATAAAGGCTCAAGTATCTGTCAGTCTGGCCTTGTCTGAGGCACATTTGAGTCTACCTGTTTCTGTGGGAGCAGTTTCTCTATGTGACTCAGTTGCTTCCTTCACCTATTCATAGGCATGGGCATGACTTCCACCTTCCCCACCCCAACATCCACCCAGGTAAAAATAAACAAATTTACTCTGGTGCCAAGACTCCATTTCTCTGCAGATAGTGACAGAGCAGACAGAATGTTAGATAAATCATGGTCTGTGGACTTTTCTGTTCAATGTGACAAATAATTTGTGGGCCAGGCAACAAATATGTGCCTAAATGGTGCCATACTTGTATGGGTGCTAAGAGATGGAGAGAAGGGCTTTTTGCTTCCTTTAACTTATGTTAATATCATACATTAGACTTTCCAAAGTGCTTTCACGTTACCTTATATAATCCTACAGACAACTTTAATAGGTAGGTGCGTAACAGCAATAGTGACAGTAATAGCACTTAAGTGTTTACTTTGTACCAGGCACTGAACCTTTATTTTGTAATTGATTCAGTGGCTCTCACATTTTTAAAAGAAAATCACCCTAAGAAATATATTTTACATAGCAACTCAAACATATATGCACACACATATATAAAGGAAAAAAAATTTTTGCAAAACAGTATTTTTCCTACGTGCATTGTATTCTGGTAAGTTCTGTTCTCTTCTTTACATTTAAAAACAAATGGCACACGTCAAACTAAAGAGATGAAAAACCCATTATTAGGTTGTGACTAGTATGAATAATGTATACATTTAAACCTCACAAAACCTCCTGAGATAGGGTGATGTTATTTCCATTTTACAGAGGTTATGGAGAGGTGAAGGATTTTGTCTGAGGTCACACGGCTATTAACTGGTGAAGATTTGAATCTAGGCAATTTGAGTACAGAGCTTACATACTTAACCACTAAGTTAGATGTGATCTCTGCAGAGGGCCTTATCTTGTAAAGAGACGGTTAATATTAGTAAATGTTAAAAACTCAGGAGACAACAAAAGGACTAAATTACATATAATCAAGAATTACCTCAGTTCAAAGCATTCTGGTCGTCTAAATCTGCCACCTATTTCTTGTCCCTAAAAAAATTTTATCCACTCAGTCTTTCTTCCCAGGACTGCCTATTTTAAGCTTTTTCTGCCAGCAGTATTTCCTTAATTTCTTATCTGAGTTATCTCCTGGACTCTACTCCCCTTCTCAGTGAAGCCTTCCCTTTCTCAGCTCTCAGCACTGCCCCCATCAGGCCCCTCCCTTGGGTAGCCTACATATGGCTGTTGATTAAATTGTAATGTGTCTTGGTGTTGATAATGTGTTGTGGGGGCCGTGTGTGCCTTGGGTGACCCTGAAATCTGACAAAAAGGCACTGGACTTGGAAATTGGTGAATCTGGCCTCTAGCTCCAGTTCTGTCACTGATTAGCTTTGAGACTTCTACAAACCAGTGCATGTATCTGGGCCTTAGTTTTCCCATCAGTAAAGCAAGAGATTAAATAATCTGTAAGACCCCTTCTAATTCTATTCAGAGAGTGATGATATTTGATGACTTTGTTTATTTATCCCTAGGAGGGAGGGTTGTGTAAATGTTTTACTCACTTATAGTAAATTTGCCACTCCCTTCCTCAGACCTGCACTATCTTGTGGATATGTGAGTGAATTCTACACCACCCATTTTACAGATGAAGCCACTGAAATACAGAGCAATAGTCACCACCCCGCCCCTGGAGCCTCACACATGACTCTTCTCCCACTTGAGCGTCTGACTGCAGGTTGGTTAAAGGGTTTAACAAGGTTGGGAAGTTGAGTCAGGGTTAGACTTTGGAAATGAACCACAAGAGTTTTGCTTCCTCTTACCTCACGTTAGCATGTGGTATAAAACCGTTCAAAGTGATTTCACGTTATTTATTTAATCATCACAGTCAACTTCGCCAGGGAGATACTATTATGCCCATTTTATGAAAGAACCATCTTTGGATCAGAGTAGTGAAGTGACTTGCCCAAAGTTACACAGCTGGTTTAGGGCCTGAGCTGGGCCTCTTGACTGCTAGTTGTGGATTGTTTCTTGGTTTCTGATGCTTGTGGCACTGACTTTGACAGATGTTATAAGTTAAACTCAAAATAGTTTTCCATGCGGTCTTTATTTTTCTGTCCCAGAACATCCAATTCACTTATACTAGGTTCCTGACTTTCCTGGTTAAAGAGAATCTCCTTCTTTTTCTCTAATATTTACATTTATGGGTTTGGGAAGTGGTGGGAATGAGACCAAGTTCCCTGGGGGCAGGGACCACCTTTTTTTTTTTAATCCCCAACCTACCTGGCCAAGCAAATATCTTACAACTTTTTAAATCTGCCCTATCAACACGCAGCATTTTTTCCCCACAAACATGGTTTCTTTTTCTCTTCTGCCTTCGGATTTAGCTTCCCATTTCTCTTTTACTTAAAATTATTGTAAATTGAAAGGACCTTTCCCTGTTACTTTCCAGGATGCTACAGAGTGCAGCTTAGAAACATATCTTACCCACTTTGTGGATAGTAGCAATTTGACCTCATATGCTAGTGACCCTGCACTGCTGTTGGGGTTCACTACTTGGTTTCCTCAGAAACAGCAGAAATATGTTCGTGTGTTTTATAGAAACGAGCAGGAGATACAGCAACATCCTTGGCCTTTTGACAAAGTCCCAAGTTGCCAAATTGCAAGGTGAAGGGCAGGGGGTGGTATTCCAGGCAGAGGGAGCTCAATCCATTTAGAATTTGTAGCAATTTCAGGAAGATATGAAGGATGTTTGCTTGATCCAGTTTTTGGTGATTATTCTACTGTTTCAAAAGTGTCGATTATTGAGACCTGACTATGTTTGCTAGAGTACAGAAAGTTAAAATCGTTTTTTTTGTAGCAGTAGTTCTTTTTTAAGATGAAGACACTGGAAATCACACTTCTTATCTAGAGATTTTTGAGGACAAAATGTAAATAAAGCACAGACTTTAAATTAGCAAATAATTAACCCTTTGTGCAATAAAAGAAAGAAGCTACAAGACATACCATATCCCTTTCTCATCCAACTTTTGGATTTGATTGTGTTCTGCTTTGTTTGTAAAGGGTTATGTGTGGAAATTTAAGGTCTTTGTTTAGCTGGTTAGGATGTTTGAGTTAGGGAGGAGGGAAAGGAATTCAAAAATAATTGCCACTTTAGGGGGAGGGTATAGTTCAGTGACAGAGTGTGTGCTTAGCACGCACGAGGTCCTGGGTTCAATCCCTAGTACCTCCATTAAAAAAATAAACAAACCTAATTACCCCCCTCTCAAAATTGATAAAAAAATAAAATAAAATAAAATTTAAAAAATTGCTACTTTATGGCAGAACAACAACAACAAAAAACATGTAAATAGCTCATTTCTCTGATCCCGCCTGCTGAGCACGAGCAAGACTTGGTTAGGGACTTTGTTTCAGAGAGACAATTGCTTCAACAAAACAGAGCATTTGTTCAACATTATTCACTGTGTAAAGTCTGTTGTGTCCATGTCAAGAGTGTTGATTTTTGTTTTTTGAGACCCAGATATAGTTGCATTAAACAGAAACCTTACATGTATTCATTGGACAATACTGGGATTTTACCTAGATTAAAAAAAAAACCGTGTTATGTGTGGATTAGGGAAGAACATGCTTAGAAAATAGAACGTAGATGCAGTGGTCATTTCTCAGTCATCTTCTTGACCTCTCAGTAGCATGACACTCCCTTCTCACACGCTAGTTTCACTTGGCTTCCAGGATGCCACTCCCTTGGTTCTCCTTCTACGTCACTGGTCCCTTCTCAAACCTTCCTCCTGCCTCCTCCCAACTTTTTGGGGGCTGATTCCTTCTTATCTCCCCAGCCTCCAGTGATGGAGTACTCAGATCTGTCCTTGGATCCCCTCTCTGTCTACACTCATTTCCATTTAAATACCATTTATACCCTGAGAATTCTCAAGTATAGATTACTAGCTTGAGTGTCTTCCCCTAAACTCAGGTCTCCCCTTTTCAGCTGCCTACGGGATACCTCCGCTTGGGTATCGAATAGCTCCTTGAACTTAACATATTCAAAAGTTTATCTCTGGAACTTCTCTTCTCAAACCTGCATCTCTGGCAGTTCCTCCTCATCTCAGTTTCAGTTATATTGAGGACTCTCCCTTGACTCTGTTCTTTCTCTTAGTTTCATCATCCAGTCCACCAGGAGGCCCTGTGAGCTTTACCTTAAAATACATCCAGGGTTTGAACACTTCTCACCTCCTTCCTTGGTACTATTGGAATATCCTTCTAAATGCCTTCCTCCTTTTGCTGTTGGTTCCCTCAGTCTAATCTTAACAGTGACTAGAATAATCTTCTTAAGTTTATATCAAATCATGCCACTCTGCTGAAAACTGTCCACTGGGTTCTACCCAGATTAAAAACTAATGTCCTTAAAGTGATCTATGAAGCTGCATGGGATCTTCAGTGTCACCCTCTCCCAGCTGCTCTGACCTCATCTTCTACCATTTTCCCCTTGTGCTCTAGCCACACTGGTCTCCTTGCATTGCTCCAACATGCCAAGCCTTGGGACCTTTGTAGTTGTTTTTTTCTGGAACACTTCTTCCAGATACCAGTATGGCTTCCTCCTTTACCTCCTTGAGGTTTCTGCTCAGCTGTCACCTAATCTGTGAAGCATTCCTTGACCAGCCTATTTAAAGTAAAAGTCATTTCCTGCTCTCTGCTTTCCCTCTTTCCCTTCCTTGCTTTAGTTTTCTTCACAGGACCTATTACCATTTGACATACTATTCATTCACTCATTTATTCATTACTCAGACATTTATTGAGTGCTGCCTATTGTGTGCCAGGCACTGATGTAGGGACTCTACCCATGTCTAGATGTCACCCATGACTAGAATGTAAATTTCACCCACTTGGTTTTGCTCATTGCTATATCCCCACCTCCTAGAACAGTACCTAGCACATGGGAGTTGAATGAATAAATTTATTCATTTTTAAACAAAAATGTATCGAATTAATAGGAGTTGTGTCCCAGATAATTAGAGAAGATCTGTATAAACAAGACATTGTTCCTGTCCTCAAGTTGCTCATTCTAAAAAACTCTTATTTTGAACTTAACAGTGCTGTATTCTCTAGCAGGATAAAGTGATACATCATTTTGAAATTGGGGAGGTAAGGACTGCTTTGCAAGGGTGGGGATATCTTCGAAGTCCTGCTTTCTTAGGCTTACCAATAGTTTGCACTGTTTCTGGGAGGGCAGGATTAATGATAGCTCACTGCATTACTGGCTTTTTGGGTTACAACATCTGTTAAATCTTGTCTTGTTAGAGCAAGAGTTTCTTAAAAATCCCGTTATTAGTCTTGGTTCTTTTTATTTAATTGAAGTATAGTTTATTTACAATGTTGTGTTAGTTTTAGGTGTACAGAAAAGTGATTTAGTTATATACTTGTATGTGTATGTATACATATATATGTATACTTTTTCAGATTCCTTTCCATTATAGGTTATTACAAGATACTGAATATAGTTCCCTGTGCTATACAGTAGGTCCTTGTTGTTTATCTATTTTATGTGTAGTAGCATGTATCTGTTAATACCAGACTCCTCATTTCCTACCCCCCTGCTTTCCCTTTGGTAACCTTAAGTTTGTTTTCTAAGTCTGTGAGTCTGTTTCTGTTTTGTAATAAGTAAGTTCATTTGGGAGAAGGGTACAGCTCAGTGGTAGAATGCATGCCTAGCATGCATGATGTCCTGGGTTCAATCCCCAGTACTTCCCATTAAAAATAAGTAAATAAATGAACCTAATTACCTGTCCCCTCCAAAAAAGAAAAAATTCACTTGTATCATTTTTTGATTCCACATGTAAGTGATATATGATATTTATTTTTGTCTGATTTACTTAGTATGATAATCTCTAGGTCCATCCGTCTTGCTGCAAATGACATTTCATTCTTTTTTTATGGCTGAGTAATACACAATACATTGTGTGTGTGTGTGCGTGTGTGTATAATATTTTCTTTATCCATTCATTTGTCAATGGACTTTAGGTTGCTTGTATGTCTTGGGTATTGTGAATAGTACTACTATAAACATTGAGGTGCAGTTATCTTTTCGAATTAGAGTTTTCTCCGGATATATGCCCAAGAATGAGATTGCTGGATCATATGGTAACTCTGTTTTTAGTTTTTTAAGGAACCTCCATACTGTTCTCCAAAATGGCTGTACCAGTTAACATTCCCACCAACAGTGTAGGAGGGTTCCCTTTTGTCCATGCTCTTTCCAGCATTTATTATTTGTAGACTTTTTGATGATGGCTATTTTGAGGTGTGAGGTGATACCTCATTGCAGTTTTGATTTGCTTTTCTCTGTTAATTAGTGATACTGAGTATCTTTCCACGTGCCCCTTGGCCATCCAGTCTTGATTCCTTTGGGGAACTTCTAGGAACCTTCTATCATAGCCACTTCTCAGAATTAGTGAAGGAGTTTACTATCTTAACTTTCTTCCATATCTAAAAGTTCTTTTTCAGAGACCCTGGCCATCTGCTTAATCAGCTGTTTGATCTGGAACCTCTCTGACCCTTAGTGTCTGTGACTGTCAAATGTTGATAATGGTAAATGACACCAATCTTGCTTCTTGTGAGGATTAAATGACTAAATAATATACTAGTTTTGAAAACAGGAGAGTGGAAAGGGGAAGGAGGTAGAAAACATTTTCTTTTTTTTCTTTGTTTAGTAAATACCATGTCTCTTTGATTTTGAAAAAAATTTAA